AGTAGAATTGTCCCAGAGTATTTTGAATGGTCCTTATGAAATATTTTAATTTGATTGTTTTCATGCCAAACTCACTGATGAAATTATGCATACCACATGAAAGAAAGAGAGAGAAATCATGCAAGTATTGCTTGCTCGGTATATACATTAATTACTTTACAATATTGGAGTGTATTCTCTTATATAGACTATAAACACCGGAGGTAGTTGTAACTAACTCAAAAGTTAGTTATTCATTTAACTATATAGCCTAACAAATTCATGCACATTGCTTAATACTCATGTGTGCTTAATTATGATACATGTGCATGCATTCTTCTAATACGCCCCCACAAGATCATGGTGGTTTAAGCAAAGCCACTTTGAGTTTGTCCTGGAAGCTTATGAACATAGAAGTCGAGAGTGACTTGGTTAGTGCATCGGTTAGTTGAGCACGAGCAGGTACATGTTGAATTTGCAGATGATTTGCCACAACTTTCTCCTTAACAAAATGAATATCATGTTTAATGTACTTAATACTTGCACGGAGTATTGAATTATGTGAAAGCAACACTACACTAAGGTTATCACACAACAGAGTAGGCACAAGATACTCGATGTGAATCTCAAATAGAAGAGATTCAAGCCAGAGTAGTTCACTATATGCACGCAGGGAGAACTTTGGAAGATGCTAAGTTAGGACAAGTAACAAGCCATGAGTTAACTTGCCACTCAAGTAGCGTATGATGCGTTTAACTGTAGCCCAATGTGATTCAAGAGACGTTGCCGTGAAATGAAAAGCTTCATTAACTTAGAATGATATGTCAGGTTGTGTGAGTGTCACATATTATAAGACACTAACTGTGAAACGATAAATTAGAGGATCTAGAATGAGATCGGTGTCATATTTTTTCAATTTACACTGATTGAACATAGGAGTGGCCACGCCCTTTGCTTCAGTCATATTCACTTTGGAGGATAAGTTTTTGATGTATTTGGTTTGTGTAAGAAGAATAGTACCATTAGCCTGATGATGAACTTCAATGCCTAGAAATTTTGAGGAATGCTTGTCTTCTTGAGAGAAAACTTGGTATAGAGTTTGTTGATGAGCTCATGAACTAGTTTTGAGGAAGATCCATTTATGAGAATGATGTTCACATATACCCGCACATAAAGAGTAACATTATGATGATTATAGACAAAGAGATAATGGTCACATTTTCTATATACAAACCCAAAGTGGATTAATGCCTGATGTAGTTTTTCATACCATGCACATAGATCTTGTTTGAGTCCATAAAGTGATTTTCTGAGCTTGAAAACCAGATCTAGATTTGAGTCAATGAAACTAAGATGTTGTTGCACGTATACCTCCTCTTGTAAATCTCCTTTGAGGAATGCATTGTTAATGTCAATATTTTGTATTTTCCATTTATAAGTGAGAGATAAGTTAAAATGACACAAATTGTTGTGGGTGTAACAACTGGTGAAAAGTCTCATGAAAATCAAAGCCATGTTTTTTTATGAAATCTGTTTCAATGACGTGAGGTCGTCCATCCCAACTAGAAAATGTTTGTGGGAGCGTTCGAAAATGGACAAGAGGAGAGGAATTTTAATGAATCCCCCACCCATAAACCAGAGGCTTCTTTAGAGGAGGTGGTGACACATGCAAACTACTATATAAAAGGTGAGGAAAGCAACACAAAAAATACCAAAGATGTCAAAGAGCATACCCATTATAGCTCGCCCATCAAAAGCAGGGTGACATTCAAACAAAGCGGAATACTTGTAGAGAGTTTCACGCCCTTGAACAATCATTGTGACTAGATATGGAGTGAAGTTCTCCATATGCATGACATTCCATTGCCACCAACACCCAAGTTATATGTTATGGAGCCCGAGCTCAACAAGTGATGCAAGTTTCACAAAGTCAAGATGCACCACGCTGAAGAATGTTATCAACTCAAGAAAGGAGATAAAGCACATTGTCCAAGAGAGACATTTGAAGAAGTATGTTAAAGATGATGCCACTCAGATACCAGGCAGGTCCAACTCTGTTGAGATATACACACCAAATTCTCACCATTGAGGGGTCACCTACAAGTCCTGATTCGGGTGACAAAGGAGCCCTGAAATATAAGATTACCTTATCTAAGAGGGATGTTGCAGGCATCCTCCCACATGATAAGAACCCTATGGTTATAATTGTAAGGCGTGACAATTAGGAGATTAAGAAAGTTTTGATTGATCAAGTAAGCTCCATAGACATCCTTTATTGGGTGACTTTTGAAAGACTTCGCTTGGACCTAGACGACCTCAAAGCTTTCCAAGGCTCACCACTGGTGGAATTCTTAGGTGAGCAAGCATTTAAAGGGATATATTATCCTAAAGACCATGTTTGGAGCTAAGGAGAACGCCAGGATGATCAAGGTAACATATTTTGTTATAGATGCACTTTCCTCATATAACATAATTATTTGGCGACCTGTTTTCAACCAGCTTGAAGTCTCCTTATCTACGTTGTATCTATAAATTAATACTTACTCCCATATGGGCGAGTTGGAGTTATCCAGGAGGATCAAGAGACCGCAAGGAAGTGTCACATAGGGATCCTGAAGTTGAAGAAAACTAATGGTCATGGCCCACACCCAACAAGCGAACACATAAGAGGTGAACATTGTAGACGAGAAGTTGAGGGTCAAGCCACAAGAGGTAACTCTTGAGGATGAAGAATTGGCTGCTCTACAACAAGAGAACATGAAGGTGGCAGAAAAAGCTTCTTGTTAGACACCTTTTATGGGCTTTAAGGTGAGGTACAATGTATGTTGTTTGTATGGTTAAATTCATATGACATTCTTTGTTTTATGGGACACATTATTTTCCTATGAGTTGGAAATAAGGCGCATGGGTTTTTATTGAGGTGTCTCACGTTATCCTATAAAAATTATAATGTTATTACTTTGTTTTTGTAGGAACTAAAGATTGAAGGGAAATCTTATCAAAATTGTCCATAAAGGCAATCATTTACATTGGATCTTCGTGGAGGAATCATTGCCGCTCGTAGAGGCGGTCATATATGTTGGATCCTCATAAAGGAATCCTTATCGTCGATTAAGGATATCACTTACGTTAGATCCTCGTGGAGGAATCTTTTCCACCCATAGAAAGGATCACGTATGTTGAATCCTCATGGAGGAATTCTTGCCGCCCAAGAGGCAATATTATCATTATCATTTGCCACAATAACGTCAAAGTTTGTTCGAAAAGTGTTCTAAGATAGTTCGCACAAAAATAAACAAGGGTCATAATCACATAACCCTATAAGGGCATGATCACAAATTATACCACAAAGGGCCAAAAGAAAAGGAAAAATCCTCCAGCTCTTTGGTCGTCGTGGATCACTTTAAAAAGGTCCATTTGGATCAAGTCCAACTCAGGGTAGAGGAAGGCGGCTAACCTGTTGCTTTGCCCACTCAAAATACAAGTCAAAAGTGTCCACTAACTCATCCTTAAGGGTGAATAACTCCCCCTATCATCTTTTCGAGTAAATGGTGTCCTCAAGATATTCCTTTAATTTCTGCTCTAAAATGACGAGATCCTGAGCCCTTGACTCCATTCTTCAAGTTTAGCCACCGGGACCTCCTTCTCTTTGTTTAAGGTATTCACTATCACTTGACCTTTGCCAAGATTCCTTTGGGAGGTAGAGAACTTCAACTTATTTACGATTTAGGTGTGTTTCTAATGTTCAACACGTTCCATCAATAAGACCCTCAACAAGTGATTCTCCTTTAAGTCAGACAGATTGTGAGTCGTCTTGTTACCAAATGACCTATTAAGTCGCTTGAAAAATCTTCGTTGAAGGGGATGCAGATACTAGTGAATCTTATGGCATCAAATATGGGATCACCCCACATGGAAGATTACGGAGGCAGATCATTCCCAGCTGAGAAGGAATTCTCACCCGTCACATCCTTCTCAGATCTTACAAATATTAATTTTTATTTTAAACAAGTGACATGAAAACAATCGCTTAGTTGGAGCCACATAAGTCATGACATGTCATATGCCACATCTGCAAAATTAAAGGAGAGACAAAAAAATTTCAAGAATTATTAAATAGGGGAAAACTGAACTTTAAAATGAGATAACTAAAACCTTATTTTAAATTAAAATAGAGAGACAAAATGTGCATTTAAACATATATGGGAATTGACATATTCAATTTACTACCACAAAACATGATTACGTACATCACATGCCAACAAGAAATCTTGCTGAAAATATTTCTTTATGCAGATTCTCAATTCACATAATAAGAAATCTTATTCTTGTCTTCAAATCACATATTAGGATTATAGGAATATGATGAACATCAGTTCATGATGTGATAACTTTGAAATTCTAGCAAAGCTTATTTGCTTGGTTTGATTAATTCTAGGCCGTGAGTTTCACTAAGAAAAAGGAGTTAATTTGAATTCCATCAGCATCATCAACATGAATTTCAATTTTAAGATAAGATTACTAGACTATTGAACAACTAAGCATGAAAGGGTGCATATATGTATTTGTCTAAAGTAGTTAGAGTAAACAAAAAACATACTTCTAAGGGATTCTTTTTGCCAGCTCAACCTGTATAGTTGCAGTTGGAATGCACTTTCCTATATTCCAAATGGAGAATTTAGGATAACATGAAAAGTTCATTCCATTTTTAAAAGAGAATTTTATGATGAAAATGGAGAATAAGAGGAATACACTGTTTGCTAAGTGACACTCACACAAATGCATGAAACTTATACTAAACATGAGCCTAATTTCAACATGGAACCTGATTCTCTACTATTCAACCCTTTCCCTTCATGGTGGATTCTACATTAGTCTTTTCTTCATCCTGTCAGTGTCAAGCATAAACCCCACTTTTTTCTGCCATAAATTCCTCTTAAGCCTTCTCCAAAATAGCCATCTTAACACTTGCAGCCTTCTGTGTTCAACTTCTCTTAGTCTAATAACAAAGGAAAAAGAAGATGGTAGTGCATGTTTATAGCAGCTTATGTTATTGCAAATTATGTGTTCAAGTTAAACTACCTTGTCTTTTTTACACTTTTTTAACACTTTTGAATTGAATGATGTTTTTGAGTGCAGAGTTTAGAGGAGAAACCTGTATCAGTTGGACCATGGGGAGGCAGTGGAGGATACAGTTGGGATGATGGTGTTTATTCAACAATAAGGCAATTGGTGATAGTTCATGATGAAGGAATTGATTCCATCCAAATTGAATATGACAAGGACGAGAATTCTGTTTGGTCACTTAAGCATGGTGGAAGTGGAGGCCATAAAATTGACAAGGTGAACTTTCCATGCCCTTAGCTAACTTATCTTGTTGAAGGCGGTGTTGCAGAACTCAGACTAATCGTTGTTGTTTTACGATATGCTATTTAGTACAAAGTGTTGTTAAATAGCTGTTATTGGAGCGCTATAATATTGTAGCATTGCAGAATTGAACAAACTGTTATTTTCTGCAATATGCGATTGACAAAACTAGTCGAAGCTTGAGGGCGCAAGTTTTCTAATTTTTACTAATCAAACTAGTGCATCATATCATGTAAATATTTATGACTGTGATGCAGATCAAGCTTGATTACCCAGATGAATTCCTAACATCCATTGATGGATACTATGGTAGCTTAAATCAATGGGGACCAATCTTCATCAGATCACTGAGTTTTGAGAGTAACAGGAAAATCTATGGACCATTTGGAGTTGTACAAGGAACATATTTTGCCTTGCCAGTGACTGGAGCCAAGATTGTTGGATTCCATGGCAGGTATGGTTGGCACATAGATGCCATTGGAGTCCATTTGAGGTCCTATCAGCAGCCAAAACCATCCAAAGTTTTGTCAAGCTCACAGAACCACATGACTAACACTACTGAGAGTGTTGGCTATTCTGTAATACAAGGAAGTGTCAGCCAAGGCTTTGATATTGTTGTTGCCGTAAAACAGAAAGATAGTTCTGTCAAAGCTTCACCAACCAAGAAGATTTACTCCTATAAAGAACCTAACAGCATTGAACCAAAAGAAAAGGTAAGAAAAAAGTACTGTTCCTTGATGTTTTTCTCAACTTTTTCATGTTATGGTTTTTGCAACAAATGGAACTGAAAAATCCTCATCGACTTCAGATAGTTTCGATGGTGAAGGCACCGTCAATAGTTGAAGGTGTGGTCACATATGGGCCTTGGGGTGGTAATGGTGGATATGTCTTTGATGATGGACCTTACACTGGAATCAGACAAATCGATTTGTCGCGCAACGTTGGAATTGTGTGGATTAGAGTTTTGTATGATCTAGATGGAGAGGCAGTATGGGGATATAAACATGGTGGAGCTGGAGGATTCAAACATGAAAAGGTGAACTAAAGAGTTAACAAACCTTAGCAATTAACTCTTATGCTATAAGTGCTTAAATTAGTAGTTTATCCAAACAGGACTTTATTATTTTTATGCATCATTTGGCAGATGATCTTTGATTTTCCATATGAAGTCCTAACACATATGTCAGGCTACTATGGATCTTTGATGTATATGGGACCTTCTACTATAAGGTCACTTACATTCCACACTACCAAAAGGGTTTATGGACCATTTGGAGATGAATATGGAACTTATTTCACAACAAGGCTGAATGAAGGAAAGGTAGTTGGAATTCATGGTAGAAAAGGTTTATTTCTAGATGCTCTTGGTGTACATGTGATAGAAGGAAAAGTAATAGTGCCAGTAGCAACATCTCCCTCCATGGAAATCATCTCAAGAGAACCAAGTATTACAGAAATAAACAGTGCTAAATGGCCAGCAAAAATTGTGCCTTCTAAATTAGCACCACTTGAAGAGGTATTTCTTAAGTCAGTCAAAAGGTGTATGTAAACTTGACGTTCAAATAACACAATTGGACATAATCAAATGATATGAGCAGTTATTTTAACATATACATAAGTTAATAACTTTTTGAAGAATATGAAACTTATCAATCTATCTGTCAAATTATGTTATGGTATCTTCACAATAATTTCTCGTCTATTTGACAGGTTTCTCGTGGTGTGGTTAAAGAGCCGGCTCAATTTGGACCAGGTCCATGGGGTGGGGATGGAGGTAGACTCTGGGATGATGGAGTTTTTTCTGATATTAAGCAGATTTATTTGACAAAATCACCTGAAGGAATTTGCTCGATTCAAATTGAGTATGATCGAAACAAGCAATCTGTATGGTCTGTGAAGCATGGCGGTAATGGAGGAAGCACCACACATAGGGTACGAATATCATTCTTAAGCATATTCATGGTTGCTAGCTAACACAGAAAGGACTTGCTTATTATTCTGTGTCTCACTAATAATGTCTATATTGTGTTTTTAGATAAAATTGGAGTATCCAAATGAGGTTCTGTCTTGCATATCCGGCTATTGTGGTTCAATTACTACCGATGAACAAGATATAGTGATTAAGTCACTGACTTTCTATACTAGTAGAGGAAAATATGGTCCATTTGGTGATGAAGTAGGGAAATTTTTTACTTCAACCACAACAGAGGGAAAGGTGGTAGGTTTTCATGGGAGGAGTAGCATGTATTTGGATGCTATCGGAGTCCATATGCAGCACTGGTTGGGAAGTCAGAAAACTTCAAGATCATCATCCCTCTTCAAGCTATTTTGATTTGTGAAGAATAATAAAGTGTGAGCAGTGTGATCACATTATTACTTGTATACTATCTAAATAATAATTTGTACTTACTCTATCCTAAGTTCCTAATTATACATTCAAACAGAATATCATTTGCAAGAGTAACTGGTGACAACTATTTTTCAATCCAATGATGATCTATGTACATGTAAATAAATAAATTGATTTCATTTTATGATCACACATTTCATGAATAGTTTATCTATGAGCATGAAAAATGATTTCGTGATTTTCAATATATACAATAGGACTTGGGATGGTCATACTTCTGATTTCTGAAAATCTACAATAGAAAAATGAATCTTAATTGGTTTCAAGATGCAAGTTTCATTGATTTGTCCTTCAAGGTTCAAGTCCGGTAGTCAATTACCTCTTTCTTCTGCCACTGTTAGTTTATCATAGTCTGCTTATATCACGGCCGAACACAAGAGTTGTAATCCAGTTGATAAATACATAGAATCTGTTCCTCCAGCTGACAACGCGTGTAATATACGCCGAGCGCCAAATAAAAAAACTTAGAACTCCTGCCAGTGCTATCCCTTTTCCCTCCTGCATGAGCTTGGTTGGTAAGGTAATAATAATAACATTAAAGCTTTTTAAGCTTGAGAATGATGTTGATATTAATTACCTTGCTTTGTCTAAGGTCAACAAGAGCCTTGTATCTGCCAATAGTTGCCATACTTCCAAGATGCTTGTAAACAAATGGATCCCCAAGTTCTATTTCTTTTCCACTGTTTGCATGGCCTGCACCTGCTTTACCAATTTTGTTCAACATATTTGCTAAATACTTACCTTGTCTCTCTGCCACCTGTGAAATCCAAATGATAATGCATCAAATGGCGGAAAACAAACTTTCTGGAAAAGTCGAAACTAGCAGCACTACTAAAGGGTTTATTTGGCATCAGAAAGTGTTTTCGAAAGGTGAAAACATGAAATGAAAGTGTTGGTCTTCCAGTACTTCAAATATCACTCACTTACTTGAGCCAATGCTGGAAGTGTTGGTCTTCCCGTACTTTCAACAAATCCACTGCAGTCACCTATTGAGAACACATCTTGTACTGAAGGAACACGAAGCCACTCATCAACACCAATCCTAAGAGAAAATAACACTCAGAATTTGCTTATGAGATGATAAGCTATAGAAAAGTTGGGGTCACTCTATGTAGCTAATCCTTTTTTTCTTACATGACAGATAAAAGATCTAAGCCTATCCATAAATTAGCTGACTTCGTAAATTTTCCCTGGTTTTCAATGTGAAGCATCATCATTAGTATCTCACGATACATGTGAGCCGCATCTTCACTCGATACTAAATTGAACTCACTTGATACGAATCTCTAGTGTGTATCTATCTGGACATGAATCTCATCTTGAATGTCTATTCATTATGATGAAACTCAATTTACTATGATGAACCTCATTTCATTTTAGTGAACTACTGCCTACACTTAGTGTAGCCAACTACTTTTTACGGTCACTTTGTATAACCAACCACTTTTCTTGTCATTTGATATATGACTTGAATCTTGAATTATTTTGAACTTCATATATGATATTTCAGCTTACAGTTTTGTTATGTCACTTGTTTTTCACTTAAAAATGTATATTACAATTCATAATAAGAATTAACTCATGATTTGAAAAAAAAGGACTTTTGATTCACGATTTGAATCTCAATTTGATAACCATGATGTGAAGTGATGCAGTGTTGAGTAATGAGACTAACCTTCCACCAGGAGCTTTTGGGAGATCTAGAGATTGAATAATAGGTGATGGACCAACACCAGTAGACCATACCAACAAACCATATGGAACCTCAGTACCATCATTTAGGATAATCTTCTGAGCTTTAACATCTTTCACAATGCCACGAACAAGACGAACTCCTGACTGAGATAGACTACAATATTGGAAAATATAAAACTATATGGAAAACTTTTAAGAACTAACTTGTCAAATCAGACAGTACTACTATCATGAAGAGTTTATCTGTATGTGTAAGACATAATTTGATAGGACACCAAAACACTTAGGCATATTCTAGAAGGTTGTAGAAGAAGTAAGATAAGAGTTAGTTGTGATATTCCTTGATTTTAGGGAATTTCTGTTATAAGAGATGGGGAATTCCTTGATCTTAGGCATATCTGTCATTTTACTTCTTCTACAAACTTCTAGAATATGCCTAATAGAGTAGTTTACTAATATGCCCTTCATTTTATCTTTCTATTCTGTTTTGCTGAGCTGTCAGGTTTGTTAGTGGTGTGCTGTTAGCTTGTTATGGCCTCACACCTTTTCTGCTTTGTATCACATGGCTATATAAAGTAGCCTCTTGTATTACTGTTTAACAAGATAATACAATGAGAGTTTCTTTTAATTCTCTCTCTTTACCTTTTTCTATCATGGTATTCAGAGCATAATTTTTTTTCCGATCCATGGAACCTTTATTCCCTTCCTCTCAGGTGAAACTTTCTCACCTAATTTCTGTTAAGCTTGACGACAAGAATTTCAAACAGTGGAAGCAGCAGATTGATGGCGTCGTCCGTGGTCATCGTCTTCAACGCTTTGTCACTGTTCCGGTGATTCCGCCACCGTCTCCCTCAGATCCTGCATCTCACAGTGCGTTTCTTGAGTGGGAACAGCAGGATGCTCTCATTTGCACCTGGCTTCTCTCTACCATCTCCGATGCTCTCCTTCCTAAGCTCGTTGACTGCAAGCATGCGTGGCAGGTGTGGACAGAAGTTCATCGGTACTTTGATGTTCTTCTCTCCACCAAGGCTCGTCAACTTCGTTCAGAACTCCGGCGTCTTACGAAGGGTTCACTAACGATTACTGAGCTTATGACGCGTTCACGTGACATCAGTGAGTCGCTAACCTCCATCGGTGATCCCGTTCCTCTTCGTAACCTAATTGAGATTGTTCTTGATTCGTTACCTGAGGATTATGATTCTATTGTCGCCGCCGTTAACAGCAAAGATGACGTTAGCTCCTTGGAAGAGTTGGAGTCTTCCTTGCTTGCTCATGAGTCGCGATTGGAGAAGCATCGCAAAGCTGCGATTTCAGAACCGGCGACGGCGACGATCAATCTCACTCAAGCAACATCTTCTCCCACTCCAGTCGCTTCTGATCAAGTCATCTCCGAGGCGTTTCCTCAAGGAACGAGTCACGTCACCGCTAATGCTGAAAATCATTCCTATGGTGCACGTGGTGGTCGTTCTGGTCGCGGTGGTGGTCGTTTTGGTCGTGGAGGAGGTCGTTTTGGGAAATCACCGTGTCAGATTTGTCACAAACCTGGTCATGATGCTTCAGTATGCTACTATCGTTATGCCAATTCAAGTGGTGCTAGTTATCCACATCATCGAGCTCCCTTCAATCCTTTTCACGTGGCTCCTCGTGCTGTTTATCCTGTGCAGCTTGCTTATGCTTCTCCCAGAGCTGCGCCTCCCAGATCTTCTGCACCACAAGCCTTTTATGCAGGTACTGAAGCTAACAGTGCAAACCAGTGGTGGTATCCTGACTCAGGAGCTTCTCATCATGTTACTCCTGATGCCTCTAATGTGTCTGACTCTGCCTCCGTGCCTGGAACTGAACAAGTTTTCATAGGTAACGGCCAAGGTTTGTCCATCAACTCTGTAGGTTCTATGTCTTTTCCCTTACCTCACAAACCTCATCTATCTCTCACTCTTAACAATCTCTTACATGTCCCTCACATCACCAAAAACCTTATGAGTGTGAGCAAATTTGCTCAAGATAATTCTGTATTTTTTGAATTTCATCCTAAGTTTTGTGTTGTCAAATCTCAGGCTACTTCTGAAGTCTTACTCAGTGGTCTTGTTGGTGCTGATGGCCTCTATAAATTCTCCAATCCAGCTGCTCCTCCGTTGTCCAAATCTTCTTCCTCTTATAGTTCTAGTCATAGTTATCCTGCAGCATACAATTGTAATACTTCCTATAGGACGGATGTTATAGATTCTATATCTCAGTGTACTGAATCTGTTGCAAATCACACTATAAATCCTTTGTCTTCTTGTAATGAATCTTGCAATTATAATGTTACAAGTACCTTTTTCAATTCTTCTCTAAACTCTGTCAGTACTGTTTTACCTTCCTCACACTTTAATGCTGCAAATTCTATTGCATCCAATAAATATGTGCTTTGGCATACTAGGCTGGGACACCCCAATCATCATACCCTCACTGAAATCTTCAAACTGTGTAATCAATCCTTTCCATCTAAACCCCCTGCTGAGTTATGTCACGCTTGCTGCATTGGCAAGTCTCATAGACTTCCTTCTTCTTTATCTACCACAGTTTACTCTCATCCCTTTGAGCTGGTTGTTTGTGATCTTTGGGGTCCTGCCCCTATGCAATCTTCCAGTGGTTATACCTATTTCCTAACCTGTATTGATGCCTTCTCTAGGTTTGTTTGGGTTTTTCCTCTCAAACTTAAGTCTGACACCATGGTTCAATTTCTTCAGTTTAAGAAAATGGTTGAACTTCAGTTCAATTGTCCCATTAAATGTGTCCAAACTGATGGGGGAGGTGAGTTTAGGCCTCTTACCAAATATCTCACAGATTTAGGGATTGTTCACAGATTCACTTGTCCCCATACACATCACCAAAATGGCCTTGTTGAACGTAAGCACAGGCACATTGTTGAGACTGGTCTCACACTCCTTGCTCAGTCCACCCTTCCCTTAAAATTCTGGGATCATGCCTTTGTCACAGCTGCATATCTCATTAACAGACTTCCTACACCTATACTTGACAATGTCTCACCTTATTTTAAATTACTTCACAAAAACCCTGACTATACTATCCTTAAAGTCTTTGGCTGTGCATGTTATCCTTTTCTCCGTCCCTATAATTCTCATAAACTTGATTTTAGATCTCAACTGTGTATTTTCCTTGGATACTCTACCTCTCACAAAGGCTATAAATGCCTTGCTTCAGATGGTCGCATTTTTATTTCCAAGGATGTTGTTTTTAATGAAGCAAATTTTCCTTATTCCACCTTGGTTTCTTCTTCAAAATCTGTCTCTCTTCCTAACACTCCATCCTCTTCCTCTCCCTCTCTCAGTTTTCCTCCTGTTTCCTCTGCTCCCTCTACTTCTAATCTGTCTTCTATGCCTTCTTCTTCCTCAAATTCTGCTTTTCCTCAACTTAGCAGTCCCACTATTTCTAATTTTTCTCCAATCTCTTCTTCCTCTTCCTCTGCTGCTCCCTCTAACAACTCTTATTCTTCTGGTCAGCAACCTATCCCTCAACCTCTCACTGCCATTCCCATTACCTCTTCTCCTTCTTCCTCTCCTGCCCTCATTCTCTCTGATCCAGCTGAAGCTAGCACTCTTTCTCCCTCCTCTTCATATTCCTCTCCTTTAGTTGGTCCCTCCCCTGGCCCTAGTCCTATTTCCCACCCTGCTGCCACAGCTTTACCTTCCATTCACCCTCAAAACATCCACCCTATGCAAACTAGAGCCAAAAGAGGAATCACTCTTCCTAGACTTCACCCTACTCTATTAATAGCCCACCTTGAACCTACATCTGTTGAGCAAGCCTTGGCTGCTCCTAACTGGTTTCAGGCCATGAAGGAAGAACATCAGGCACTACTGAGAAATCAGACCTGGACTTTGGTGAAAGCTCCTGCTGGAAGGAAGCCTATTGGATGTAAGTGGGTGTTCAGGACTAAGGAGAATCCTGATGGTTCCATAAACAGGTATAAAGCCAGATTAGTGGCTAAAGGGTTCCATCAAAAGGCTGGTGATGATTTTCAAGAGACTTTTTCTCCTGTCATTAAACCTGTTACTGTGAGAATTGTTCTTTCTATTGCTGCTACAAACAGGTGGCCATTGCAGCAGATTGATGTTAACAATGCCTTCCTCAATGGCACTCTTGAAGAAGAAGTCCTTATGCAACAGCCCCCTGGCTTTGAAGTTGCTGACAGAACTCTTGTTTGCAAGTTAAATAAGGCTATTTATGGTTTAAAACAGGCTCCTAGGGCCTGGTTTGATAAGCTAAAGTGTGCCTTGGTTCAACTCGGGTTTAAGGCTAGTAGATGTGATCCTAGCTTGTTTTTGTTGCATCAAGGTAAACTTCAGATTCTAATTCTGGTCTATGTTGATGATATAATCATCACGGGTAGTTCTGCTCCTTTTATAGCTTCCTTGATCAAGCATCTCAATAATTCTTTCTCTCTCAAACAGCTGGGACAACTTGATTATTTCCTAGGGATTCAAGTGACTCATCTCCCTAATGGTTCTCTTCTCTTATCTCAGACTAAGTACATCACAGATTTGCTTTCAAGGCTTAATATGTTGAATGCCAATGGCATGCCTACTCCCATGGTCTCTAGCAGCAAATTGTCCAAGGTTGGGTCTGCTGCGGTTGATGACCCTACTCAGTTTCGGTCTGTGGTTGGTGCCCTTCAATATGCTACCTTAACTAGGCCAGAGATCTCTTTTTCAGTCAACAAAGTCTGTCAGTTTTTGTCCAATCCTTTAGAGGATCATTGGAAGGCTGTTAAAAGAATCTTAAGGTACCTAAGTGGTACTCTGCACCATGGTCTTCTCCTTCAGCCTGCTCCTATTCAGCAACCAATGCAGTTGCTAGGGTTCTGTGATGCAGACTGGGCATCAGACCCTGATGACCGGAGATCTACTTCAGGGGCCTGCATATATCTTGGGCCTAATGTTGTTTCCTGGTGGTCCAAGAAGCAACAGCTTGTTGCAAGGTCCAGTGCTGAAGCGGAATATCGCAGTATGGCTCAGCTAGCTGCTGAACTCATTTGGATTCAGTCCTTGCTCAAGGAACTCCATTATTCCTCTCAAGTTCCTAAGATCTTGTGTGATAACTTGAGCACTGTTACTTTGGCTCACAATCCTATTCTTCACAACAGGACTAAGCATATGGAGCTTGATATTTTCTTTCTGCGAGAGAAAGTACTCAGCAAAAGTCTGACTGTTGTTCATGTACCAGCTCAAGATCAATGGGCTGACATTCTCACTAAGCCCCTCTCTGCTGCCAAGTTTGTTCCTCTTCGTTCCAAGTTGCGTGTGTATGATAAGGCTGCTTTGACAAGTCTGCCATCAGCTTCTAAGGGGGACTAATAGAGTAGTTTACTAATATGCCCTTCATTTTATCTTTCTATTCTGTTTTGCTGAGCTGTCAGGTTTGTTAGTGGTGTGCTGTTAGCTTGTTATGGCCTCACACCTTTTCTGCTTTGTATCACATGGCTATATAAAGTAGCCTCTTGTATTACTGTTTAACAAGATAATACAATGAGAGTTTCTTTTAATTCTCTCTCTTTACCTTTTTCTATCAATGCCAATGTTTAGGTGTCCTATTATAATTCTTGGATAAACATTGTGTCTTTGGACACAATACAACCAATCAAAAACAGCTCAAGATAATGTTAATGAATCATGTTAGAATTTTACTGATAAAACATTCCAAATTGCAGAATGCATCTATCAAGATATAGCTTACCTTTGTCAACTGCTTGGTAGCATAGAGCCTGAGTCGGTCATCAAAAGAAGATAATATCTCATTTGCCTAATAGGATATGAACAAATTGGTTAGCATAAATTACCTTATAAGACATCTTTGGCATGAATAAAATGGTAATTTACTTTTAAAAAAATGGCTTCCATAACTGTGTTAAATTTGTCATGCTATTAAACATACCTCAATTAAAGTAACACGGATGTAATCCTTCACATGTGTATATCTTTGGCGTACATCCTTCATGATAAAATCACTAAGTTCACCACTGAATTCAACTCCAGTAGGACCACCCCCAACAACAACACAGTGCAAAAGCCTTTGTTTTTCTTCTTCTGGTATTCCTGTATCCCAAATAAAACACACAAGTAATAAACAGAAAAGTAAATGTCTTAAGACTCAAGAATACATTTTTCTAACATACTAAGATTAAGGGTTTGCTAGGACTGACTCGTTTGATCTTGTTTACTGGTATCAACACTTATAACTTATATGGAAACAACTTAACTTTATTTTACCTTTTATTATAGAAATAGTTTTTACATAATCATCACTTATATGATAGGCATGCATGCTATGAGTGCTCAATTAAGTTGTTTATCCAAACATGGGCTAAACGATTATAGCAAACCTGGAACATCAGATAGCATCAAGTTTAGGAGCAATTTCCTACGAATTTCCTGTGCATGGTGAACTTCACGAAGAAAAATGGCATGTTCGTTGACTCCTTGAATTCCAAAAGTAGAAGGATGTGATCCTAATGCAATTACTAGCTTATCATAAGAGACTGTAAATTTCCAAGGATCTATTGTCTGCTCTCCATCAGTTACAGTCTCACATTCCACCTTCAAAACCAAACATCAAATACAAATTTCCCATATAAGCCACACTGCAAGTACCAATATTCCAACCAAAATTAGTATCAAACTATATGTTTCAGTGAGCAAAATAAAAAAAAAAAGGTTCAGTTTAGTAAGTAACATACTCTCCATCACTTATTCAACTATTTTGTTTTTTCAAATTATTACGAGTGTCGATGTGTCAGCGTTATTCGACCGCACGATTGAATGTGAATCTCCACAGCATCACATATCATGATGCAGAAACTATTTTAAACACTTTACAAGTATTAGAATAAACAAATCACATCAAGGTAACACTTACCGTATGATTATGTGCATCAATGGAAGTACAATTGGCAAGAAAGAAATAAGAACCAGGCTCTCTAGAAATAGCTGGTTGGATCCTTCCAATGGGTTCAGCAACTGATCTAAACTCAAGAGTTCCAACACAAGTGGAAGCCAGTAGAGGGGTAAACACCATGTGGTTCCTAGGTGAGACACAAACAATGTCATAAATATGAGGGTCCAACCCTTTCATGAGTCTGCACCCAGCCCAGCCTGAACCCAACACAACCACCCTTGGTTTCTCATGAGGCTTTGTTGGTTCCAAACCTGAAGAATGCTCAACAGGCTTAACATAAGGCTTTTCCTCAATGGGTTGGGAGCTGAAATGGGAGAAAAATGTGAAGGATGGTAAAAGGTGAAACGGGTCAGTTTTATTAGCTCTTTGAGATGATTTAATATTGGAAAATTTTGAGAGGTTTCTTAACCAAGCCATGCTAGTTCTGGTTAAGGTTTATGTCTCAACCTCAAATGGGTTTTTTATGGATTCTTTTTGGTGTTTTTTTTTATGGTGTGTTAGAATATATGACATGGAAGATATGCATCACAAAATATAGATTAGGAGAGGAAAGTGAACCAAGTAAATAAGATATATAGATGTGGGCTTTGTGATGAGTTAGTTATGCTGTTAGTTATATAAGGTGGGCCAGCTTGATGTAACATTTGGATTTTAGTTAAGGTAGCTCATTTCTTTTGACACTTGTCTTTTCATAATTTTTTATAAGGGATAATAAGAAATTTCTTGTTTTGTATGTACAACTTAAATGGTTGGTACTGACATTTAATGTGTTGGCATGCGAGTTCGAACCCGCGATTTTCTACTTTTCTATACTTAAGGTGTTTGATTTAGTGCCACTAAACTATTTGATCAAAAAAAAGAATTTCTGCAATAAAAAGTCTAAACAAGGAAAACTTATGAGGATGTGTGAATTTTTAGGAAAACATTATAAGCAAAAGCGTATATTTGGATGGATCCTGAGTGTATATTTGAAAGGTGATAGATCAACACTCTTCAGTATGAGTTTTATTTACTGATTATTTTATAAAAATACTAATGTTAATAAGTAACAACATTATCTAACATTAGTAAAAAAATAATAGTAGCAATGCTGTCTAATTACTGCTAATTTGTCTAATAAAGCACATCTTTTATAGTGATACTGATATGCATATATGGATGACCATAACATACGAATAATGAAGAGTATAAAACAGAATGACCATGTAAATGGGGATAAAATTGTTGAGAGATCATTAGTAACGATTTACAATATGCTGTGTTTAGTTTTGGAGGGTTACAATATCACAGTAGGCATACATCAATATTGCATATAAACTGTTTAAGTACGTATTTTATAAAAGCTTAGAGAACATAGAAATATCAATGAACAGCAGCAACGAAGCTATCCATATTCTCAATCAAAAGCCAAAAATGAAAGTTGTACTTGAATGACCAACATTAGCTACCAATTTCACATAATAGCCAATGTTTCCTTCATCTATAATATAAAAAATCTTTGTTTGATACAACATCAACACAACACCGACATATATGATTACATTCAATCAATTATATCTTCTTAAACTATTGCCGATGTAAATTTTGCACCTAAAACAAAAACCAGTCAAATAATAAAATACACACAATATAGACCAAAAACAAAAACAAATGTGTTGATAACACACAATAAATCGTAGCAATGACGCACATCACTACATTTATGTTAAAGAAGGAGAGCACGAAATTCCAACCCATTAACTATTAGCCATTCCAAACTCTTTTGTACTTATTGTCTGCCACCGCCACTCCTTCCATTTTATGTTCAATTTAATACCGTAATAGTCATGATTTTATCCCCACATATGAAATCTTACTACAGAACTATAACTTAAAGCCACCATAATAATAGGAATATAGGAAAGTAAACTAAGATGGAAAAATAAGTAAATTTGTGCACCTCAACTCTTCCAAAAAAAAACCTTCATAATTAAATGGTGTATTCCACATTCCGAACTCTCATCTTTGAGGTCTTTGAGATATAGATGACGTTGAGACAGCCACAAAGACAGTCCTATTGGAGAGAACAATCAGCATCCACAGAAAGGCCATGTTGTGTTGTGCACATCACAGGGATAGCTGCCCTTGAACAGTTCAACCGGCAGCATTTATCTTCCTCCGAGTTCCAAGGCGATGCACCAAGATTGGGCCAGCTCTGATTAATTAACACACAAACTAATCAAATAATCGAATAAAAGTGAAGCTGAATGGGGACAATTATCAAACGAGTAGCGTGCATGAACTGAATTTGTAAAAGGTGAGAAAACAAGATTAATTGGCAAGCGCGATATTGTTTAGAAAATGAAAAGGGTGATTGAAGCAATGTTTTCTGGATAAAAGCAAATTTATTAATTAGTCTATCCCAGCACAAGAAGTACAGAGGATATAAAACACCAGTACATATCTCCCTTTCTCCACAATACATACTTCCCCTATCAATCACCCTCCTATTATACCAGATAAAATTATTACAGTATTATTCAAACAAAGCAGGTTCAAAAAAGCTATTTGATTCACGCCGCCCAATAATCAAAAAACGCAGCTCCCGTCACTATAGCACCTGAGAATCGTGCTCCACTCCCTACTCCAGCTAAACAGATGAGATAACCAGCTGCGTCATTCCAGCATCGATACATCCCTGTTGACCACTGGATTAGCTTCAAACCAATTGCACTAACTTGTATCAACACCGCCATAACCGTTACCTATCCAATCTTTTGAATGATGTTAAAATTGGGAAACCTTACACTACTTCAGAGTATTGGATAGTATTCTTATGTTTTGTAACACTCCTCCACATCAAAGATTTTAGGAATATTAAAAAGCATCTGAAATTGATCCAAGTCATTAAAAATAGTCTTTTGCATGATTTTTCAGTGCATGTGTCAACACATCCGTATTTTCGGTCGACACATGTAATCCATTATTAAAGCATGTAGTCTTTGTAATAAGTCTTAGGCCGACACATGCGTGATAATCAAGTCGACACATACTAAAGTTTTTCTGAAATTGCAAAAAATTCTTATTTTATGTGTCAATACATCCACTTTTTAGGTAGACACATTTACTATCGTTTTAAAGACGATAGCTTCTGACTTGTTTCGATCGATACATAGTTTCTCATAGGTTGACACATACATTTTAAAATTCACGCATGTGTCGACACATACGATACATAGGTCGACGCATACTATTATGTTTGGTTAATTTCTTTAAATCTTTTTTATTCTGATTTTTTTCCGTTTTCTCTAAAAATTTCAAAACTGTAAATACTCTTTCATGCATCATTCATAACTTGTTGAAAACCATAAAATTAGCATATTTCTCTCTTCATCTTCAACCTCCAATCTATGCATACACACTGACATTACATTGTAACGATGTTCTGTTGGGGTGTCATCTAGACGAGAATTGCTAGTGTCCAATTGTTTATTGGATGGAGTTTCGTAAGGGTTTTCATCCAGGAAAAACCTCGGCTTTGTCCTCCAAGGTCATTGGTTGATTTGGGGATTTTCGTGCAAGACGTTCGAGAGGTAATTGCGGTATAGTGAACAACTTTGGAGTGCTTAAAATTTTTACAAGAAATCTTGGAGTGTTTGAAATCTTTGCAAGGAAATAACTTGGAGTACCTGATTGAATCGAAGTCTTATGTTGCAATAGTTTGAAATTGACTGTGCGCGAAATCTTTGGAGATAAAGAACGCAAAGGAGTAGCAAGATCCAGATAGTCATTTTTCATCTATTGTGTTTTGTCTCTCTTAAGATCAAAAGTGGGGAATGAGTTGAATCAACAACAAGCTTAAGGTTTATGGAGTTACTCTTGAACACTTGTCTTGTATCAACAATTTTGCATGGTAAAAATTATACGCGAGGACGACAGTGGAAAACTGTGAAGACAAATTTCTTGTGTCCTTTTTATTTTTGCTTTTTACTTGTTTTGATACTTATTGATCAATTTGTCAAATAACATTGCGTCATCATTTAAATTGTAAGAATTTTCCTAATCAATTTTGATTTTATCTAAAGTGTTAACATAACTTATAATCACTTTTGATTATAAATGATTTTTTGTATCAACACAATCAAAGAAAAAATTCTGAAAATTCACATGCACACCAAATGTTTGATAAATTGACTAAACTAGTTCTTTTAATATTACCATTGGAAATAATTTTGCTAAGTGAAAGTGATTAAACAATAAATAAGTTTCAAGTGATTCAAGCTTATTAATTCTATTATCATTCATATTCTATATTGAATTTTGTTTTAAGTTTGCATATCTAAACTTCCCGATAACGTTCGTATAGACGACAATTTAAAAAAACTTATTTGAAATTTTTCAAAAGAGTATCTATTCACCTCCTCTAGATACGTTTCCGTTGTGTAATACATGCATTCATCGAATAATACCAAAATCCTTTCTGCAACTCAGCGGACTTCACTGCCTTGCAACATCCTCAAGATCAATACAGTTGTTGCTATAGACTCAAATCACAATCATTGCTTTGGTTGTGTCATTCATGATCACAAATATGATTTGTTTGTTGCTGCATATTGTGTTATGAACTGAAACACCCAAGACATAAAATGCAGGAATAGAGGGTTAATGATACTCTTAACTAAACAAACAATGATTGTACTCGATATTAATGTTTACATGCACAAGGTCCCGCGTCCTATGGCGCTGATATCCGATCAAGGCACAAATTGAGTAAAAAGTTTAACAGAAATAAAAATATTGATCCACCCTTTTCATCTTTTCTTAAAACCATACTTCTTGCGTTCATAGAATAAATCAGTTTTGGCACTCCCTAAGTTAACAATTTTGGGGCAACCATCCCTATCTTTCTCCTGCTGTGTGCATTCCTTGCAGTAGTAAGCATCCGAAATTCCTACTCCTCCACATATGACACATCGACCTTGAAATGATCCATAGTTGCACTCATCACACACCCTGACAAGTGTACATGGACGCACGTAAGAGTCGCATATCACACACTTGCCGTCACATTTCTCACACAATCGTCCGATAGCAATTCCTGGCTGCTTACGGCACATGATCAAATCAGGATGATGTTTGGCCATGTTTTCAACAACCTGCTAGATGCTGAATTTGTATACAAAATGATAAGTGTTGTATACAATTGAGAATTGAGTACAATATAGTTATAGCAAAACAAAATATAACATAAAATTTTGCAACAAAATATTGGGATAGCTTCACTGTAATCTTGGTGATGATCTTTCATAGTAGATATGCAAAATGCAAAAGGAACTGACATCTATTTTAATCAGTGGATCACGTAGTCTCTTCATCGCATTAGCTAAAACATGAGCATGATATTTCCAGAAGAATGTGGATTCAGATCGTAGCTAATAACCACAACAAACAATTGACTACCTCAAAAACATAAAGAACCACTGCATCTAGACGTATTCGATGATATTCTTTCTTAGCAAGCTGGCCACACAAGGCTAACCAAAAGTGACAATTTTACCACCCCACAATAGGCTCCAGATATGGTTTTATCACACTTCTAAGATGAATTCACAAAATCATGGCAGAGGAAGACCTATCAATCCTAGCAAGATCATAAACCTTCAAAGGGCCTAATAACATGTTTTTAAGCATTTCCTGCCTTATAACAGTAAAACCTCTAAAACCTCTAACATGCTCTAACTTCGAGTACTGTTTTTTTATTCAATATCCTGATTAAGCATCAATTTTCTAAAGCTTGGCTGAGTGTAACCAAATGTGTGTTTATCACTTGAAGCAGCCACAAAAATAAACCAAAAACAAGCAACCTTAACACAACTTAATGCACATCATTCTACATTTTTCTGCTAACAACCAGGCAAAAGGAGCTCCCTATGACAGAGAAACTCAACTAATTATTTCTTCAAAGCAGCGATTAGTTTCAGTAACATATAAGCTATAATTCAAGCATAGCAGCAGTTGTTCCTCCTACTACCAGCTGCTATAGTAGTGATGTGATTTTTCCATATTATCCAAAAGGATTATACTAACATGCAAGGTCTTAAAAAACAGCCCGTTCCTGCGAAAACGGTTGCGACAAAATGGTATCTGAAGGTGCAGATACAAATATTGTTAATAACCATGTCTTATGATGAAAAAGAAATTGTGGTTAATTCACGATGCGCAATCAGTATCGCCGCACCTGTACAGACCGAAATCGCGAAAATCTTTACGACCGCGGCCTTTATTTAAAACCTTCTAACATGTATCTTTTTCATAATCCAATTTTTTCTTAACCATTTCAAATCAATACCAGAACAAGGGTTAACAAAAACTGAAAACCTAGAAATTAACAATTAGCAATAATTGGAAGAAAAATGAAAATTTATAGCATTAATCACATGAGAAATGGGTGAAAAAAAGCAGAAACGAAAATCGTGGCCAAAGACATAGTAAGATGAAGAAGAAGAAAAAAAGCTAACCTGTGGTGAGAAGAAGAGTAGTGTTAAACGACGTCGCTTTGTCTGAACTACGAACCTTATGCTGTGGCGGAGGTAGCGAAAAATAGAGAATGGAAAGGAACTTCTCGAAGCAGTCGAGATTCTTGAGACAAGGCCCAATCTAAATTTACTTTCTATTGTTATTCGCACCCTCCGATACTAGAAATACAATGCAAAGAGTGTGTTTGAATCAGACAATTGGAAAATTTTAAATTCTTTTGTATAGAGTGATAAAGTAAATCATTGTTAAATGTTTTGGGTTATTTTTATAAATTTTAAAGTTTTATGGCCAAAATTTTAAATTTAAAAATATGGACTAATTTATAATTTTGAAATTTCAAAGGATCAATTTGTAAAATTGAAAAATATAAGGACCAACTTGCAAAATTTGAAATGATAACATTAATCAATTTGACGTTCAGATTCTTTGGAGTATGAGAAGAATTTGAAATTCTTTGATTTTAGGTGTTATTTCAAAATGATAAAATTTAACTAGGACAATATTTTATAAATTTTTGTTATTTTAATAATTCTTCATATTTTTTTATTCAAACAATAAATATTGTCCAAATCATTTTAAATTCTCTCAAAATATTACATTCTCTTATTAAAATGTCTAATCCAAACATACTTTAAAGGAATAATAATGATGCCTTCAAAAGAAAAAAGGAACGATGATTGTGATACGGTGGGAGAATTGACTTGGGATTTTGCGTTTGTGTTCGCAAATGTTTCGGTTTAGCAAGAGTCGCCACCGACTTTTTATTTTATCCTAAGGAAAGGTCAAAAAGCACAGGAAAGACTTTTGAGATATTTTCTTGAATTCGGAGAGTAGATTATGAAAAGGGAAGGTATTAGCATCCTTTTTATCCATGGTTATCCATGGACTCTTAGTTACTTGTTTAGATCACTTGCTTTGCTTTTCAATTGTTTAAAATGGTGCTCTCCAATTGTTTGAAATGGTGTTTTGTGTGTGGTTTTGAAAGATGTTTTGAAAAGAGGCCATCGTTGTGGAAACCTTTATAATGATTCTTGTTTGAATGTATACAAAGGTGTTTTTGTCTTTTGAAAAGTTTTCAATGTTTGAAAGTTGGATTGAAATTATGTTGTGAAGTGTGTTTAAAAATAGCAAGGATGTTTTTTCAAACTTTTGATAAAGTAACTAAGAGTTGTCTACTCTATTTTACTCAAAGATCTTTCTTATGTTTTTAACCATTTTA